AAAAGTGATTTTCCACACTCGTAATGTAATATACTATTAATGACCGAATACACCAAGGAAATTTTTATTTATATGAAAAATAGCCTTGACAGTATTTTTTTAGACAACTTGCTGTATAATTAATAACATATTTTATTTGATGAATAATTCCTTTCATCCATTAAGCAGATGGGTGAAGGTCGCCCTTAATTCGTATCCGTACTATGTGCCCTTTCTACTAAAATTTTGAAAAACTGGCTCCACAAGAACACATTTAACCCTTACGTACACGTATATGTCGTTCAGTATATCAATTTTTTTCTCGGGTTTATGTTGAGCCGTCATTTTTTTGTGATTTATTATTTTTTTAGTTTGAATTAGCTTTGTCACGTTGTCTTATGTATATGTGTATTTGGGAAAGATTTCACATGCATAAGAGGCCATGTATGTTTTTTATAATAATTTTTACTTTCACCACATTATACCATTATACAATTTTAACCAATAGTTGAGGGAAAGTAAAAATTAAAATAAAAAAATATGCATGGTCTCTTAGGCATGTGTAACATTTCCGCTCCTAAAATTTGGTTAAAATTGTACCATAAATAAAGACGGAACTAAGTAGAAAATTTTTATTATTCTGAATAAATCAGTATATTTAACTTAAAAATATGTACATGTTAGTTGCTCACTATTATTGATTAATACACTTTATTTCGATAAATTACCATAACTCATTGGCGTAGAATCAAGGGCTAAGAAAACAATTTTGATTCAAACTTTTTGAACACCCTATATTTAATAAAAGTTAAGATAAATAATTTTTCTTCTCGAAATTTTTCACAAAAAGGCTCTTGGTTGATATTTGTAAAACATTCCATTTCCAAGTTTTTCACTTTTAGCCCTACTCGCACATGAAATATATGTACATTATGAAATTCCAATGATGCAAATTTTTATTAAGGGCCTATTTCAATATTGAAAGGTTTATTAACTAATGGGACCATTAAATCCATAAGATCTTGGTCTTATTAGTTAATGGACCATTTGGGAACGCGAGACCGAGACAGCTCAATTCGTAGAAATATATTTTTTTAATGTATGTTCAGCGATAATTACTTAACACCCTGTCCGATTTCAATGATTCTGTTTTTGTTAGAAAGGGGGTACTTCAGGGGTGATCCCATATAAATTTGGTCAAAATATAATAATGAGAAATCATCACTCTTCATTTTTTATGTATGTATGTTAAGCTGTAATTCTTTCCCACCTTGTCCAATTTAAAAAATAATAAAGTTTATTATCCGATATTTTTATTTGTTCACCTGACAGTTGACTGGTCTGTTGGTATACAGGGTGTACCAATAAAAACTCCCAGGCCGGATATTTTGGTAAGTAATAGAGATATTTTAATTCTGTAAAAGCCATTTCATAGAGCGCTAAGAGAGCTTCAGTTTTAGATATAAATTAATTTTAAATAAGTCAATATGTAGATGGCGCTGCGCTCAATATATTTTTTTCGATGGGAGGATCTTTCTTATATAACGCATCTTATAAAAAATGCATTTGAAAGCAGATTTTGTTCTATAAACTAATTCGATAAATCTAGCCATTTTTGATATACAGAGTGGGTCACTCAAAACAGTTTCATCCTGTTTTTCAGCATTAATCATTGGATTTTAAGAAAATGCTAAAACAGGTCGATTTTTATTCCCAATTGAACACATTTTTACAATACAGACATCTGTCATGTGTCAACCCCCTCCCTTCTACTTCTCCAACCCCCTTAATTTTAAATAAGGAATGTATCATGTACGGCACATCATTGAAAGGGTAATTTTATGGGGAAGTCAGAAATATGACTGTTTATTGCGATATTTTTAATTTTAGCGCCCTCTATCGGGATAAAACACCTGTAATGTATTATAAAGTGTGAAACTTCATGCATGACTAATTTTCAAACTATTGCAAGTGCAATATGGAGGATATTTATATTAATGTTATGTAGTGCATTGAATTAGTAATTAAATTTGCTTTCAAATAATGTGTCACACTTTATATTACGTACAGTTTTTTTATCCCGATAGAGGGCAGTACAATTAAAAGTATCGCAATGAACAGTCATATTTGTAAATTCTCTATAAAATTACCTTTTTAATGATATACTACACATTGTACTGTCACACTCTATAATACGTAGTAGTTTTTTATCCCGCTAGAGGCCGATACAATTTAAGTAACTCAATATACAAATATATTTCTGAATTCTCAAATAAATTACCTTTTCAATGATGTGCCATACATGGTACATTACCTATTTAAAATTAAGGTGTTGGAAAAGTGCAAGGGAGGGGGTTGACACATGACAGATGTCTGTATTGTAAAAATGTTTTTAATTTGGAATAATAATAATAATTTTCTTAAAATCCAATGATTAATGCTGAAAAACAGGATGATACTGTTTTTGAGTGACCCACTCTATATCAAAAATGGCTAGATTTATCGAATTAGTTTATAGAACAAAATCTGCTTAAAAATGCATTTTTTACAAGATGCGTTATATAAGAAAGATCCTCCCATCAAAAAAAATATATTGAGCGCAGCGCCATCTACATATTGACCTATTTAAAATTAATTTATATCTAAAACTGAAGCTCTCTTAGCGCTCTATGAACTGGCTTTTACAGAATTAAAATATCTTTATTACTTACCAAAATATCCGGCCTGGGAGTTTTTATTGGTACACCCTGTATATCCAGTGCCACTAACTTAAAAAAAAATGTGTTAGTAAGGGGGTGCCTCAGGTATGGTCCCCTACAAATTTGATCAAGATGTGGTGATGGCACCTGCACGATTTTGAAGTCGGTTTTTAAAATTACTTTTATAACTTGTACTAATAATTTCGTAGATATACCGGGTGTTCAAATTAAAGTGTTACAGTTAAATACCACCGAAAATATGCATTTTATAAAAGAAAAAAGTTTTATAGTTTTTTGGGGGAAACATTTTGGCTAAATTCATTTTTTGATAGCTGACCATAATATGGCCATATCGAGGTAAATTTCATAAAAAATAAGTAATTTTTAAAGAAAACATTTTTTTATTGGACTTTTACTTATTGAGTAACACCTACTTAAAAATTTTGCTGCGCAAAAAAAATTGTTGGCCATATTATGGTTAACTGTAAAAAATGATTTTAGCCAAAATTTTTTCCCTAAAAAACTATAAAACTTTCGTCTGAAATGTTTTTTTTATAAAACTGTAACACTTTAATTTGAACACCCGGTATATTAGTGCGTAATTGTTAGATAACTGTTTTATTATTGGAGATACGAAGAAATTTTGACGACCATTTTTAAATATACAGGGTAGCCCATAAATGAGGGGCCAAGTGAGAGGCGAACCAAACTTATACTTTCTTAAACCAAACCGCCTATAAATTAATTTTATCTATGATATACTGGGTGATTTAGATTCTGGAGGCATTTTGCTCGTAAATTCACATCAAATCTAACCATAAGTAGATAGGCATATCAAATTTGATTATATTCACAACATCCAAAAATTTGAATAGGCTGGAGTTCATAAAAATATTTTTCCTACGGCCACTTAGTAAAGTGACGCATATCACACTATAAAGTCCTATGGAAAGTGCCCTATATCACACGCGTATGAATAAGAATGTACTTTCCACCCAAGTGAGAATATGTTACTTTCCGCAGTATTTGTTACAAAATGTCAAACACCTAATTTCTATTTTGATCTATGCAATGTCCATATTAATACTAAAATCGATATGATTGTTAAATTATTGAAATTGTTGTAAATTAGATCCTAGATATTTATCTTTAACAATTATTATTAAAATAATTTTAAAATAACTAAGATTTTGTTTGCTTTTTATTCTGGTTAAACATATAACCGATTAGATCATTCAATTGACGAAAGGCCTGTTAGCTCAGTTAGTTGGCGAACGACCGCGTTCGAATCCTGGCGGGGCCAGAACTTTTTTTGTTTTTTAATTTTTGTTTAAAACATATGAAAATTGAATAAATACGATTGTTGTTGATTATTTTTTTAAATACATTTTAATTATTATAATAACCTGGTTTTACATTTTTTGATGAAAATATTTTGTGGTCGTAGGAAAAATATTGTACATCACTTGTGTGAAAAGTGATTTTCCACACTCGTGTGATAGTCGCACTCGGCTTGTGCCTCGTGCGACAATATTTCCCACTCGGCTTGTGCCTCGTGCGACAATATTTCCCACTCGTGTGAAAAATGTCACTTTCCACACTCTTAATGTAATATACTATTTCATTTTCAATCATTTGCTATGATGTATACAGGGTGTGTCAAAACGTTATGTATCGATCTTCTCATTTTTTTTAAATAGAATACTCTGTATTTTATACTACCAATTAATTAATGTCTCAATCATTTGCTATGATGTATACAGGGTGTGTCAAAACGTTATGTATCGATCTTCTCATTTTTTTTTTTTTAAATAGACTATTTTATACTACCAATTAATGTCTTTAATTTTTATCTTGTTTGGTATTCCATTCCCTATACCCTAACGCATTGTTTTTGAGATTTTTTCATAATTTTTTACATTTTTTTTTTTTATCTTTTGGAAATATAGACTTATGCTAAAGGGCTTATTTCATTTTTGTTAAATAGTACAATTATTTTATAATTTGCTATTATATTAAATGTGTAGAACGGGAAAAGTATTTGGATTTCAAAAATAGTACATGTTACAAATTATCTAAATACATGAAGAATTTTGTTTAGAGACAAATTTCTGCAATACCATTTTAGCACCAGAAAAGGTTCTAAACGACTGAACTGAATGAGTTTTAATAAAAATAAAAAATTAAGGTTAAAATTGTGGTACTACGAAGCCCTCACATACACTGCTGTGAAGCCAAGTAAATAAATACTCTTAACTCATTTCCCAAATGAAATATATAATAATTTACTAATGACTGCTGTGTTTACTTATTTCCTCCAAGGTGCGGGAAGCGGCCACAGGCTGTGCAAGGATACGAGGCGATACGTTGGGAATCGTCGGTCTGGGCAGGATAGGATCAGCGGTGGCTTTAAGGGCGAAAGCCTTCGGCTTCAACGTCATCTTCTACGACCCATACCTACCCGACGGCATCGAGAAGAGTCTCGGATTGACGCGCGTCTACACCCTCCAGGACCTTCTTTTCCAGTCGGACTGCGTCTCACTGCATTGTACCCTCAACGAACACAACCACCACCTTATCAACGAGTTCACTATCAAACAGATGAGGCCTGGGGCGTTTTTAGTTAATACAGGTGAGTGACTTGGTTTGCTTTGGTTTTACTGTCCCCATTATTAAAATAGAATACGTATATGAAGCATTAGTGGAGGAAATAACGATAAAATCTTATAGCGTTTTTCATTGGTGACATTTATGTTTCATTGGTAACATTGTGTTAGTTTTTCGTTTACCATTAGAAAACTGGTGTACTAAAACTTGTGCTCGCGACAACGAGAAATCAAGCTATAAAAATAAAAACATAACAGAATAAATCGTTGTAGTACATTTTTAATATTGACGGTTATTTTGTTTTTTAGTTGAAGAGGTATTTTAGACTCTCTAAACAGACTATTACCTATTTAAATTTATGTAAGAAGCAACGAATAATTTATATTAATATTATGGCGCCAGTTTGCTCGAAATTTGAAATAGACGTGTTCCATTGACCAATGCACTGGTTCAGTTTTTTGTGCACCAGCATCAGGCACCATACAATTTCATTTCATATTCACACGAACCTCATGTGAACAACAACTAGTTAGACTTTCATGCAAATAAGATCCGCGCTGACGCGAACCGCGCGGATTCCGATTTATCTGAACGAGATCTATTTTGTCTATACATGGTGTTGCGGGAGATAATGCCCACGTAATTTTAACTTGTGATTAAATTCAATTATATAATCACTGGATAAATAATCTTCATATTTTTTGTTCACAACATGAAACTGGAATAGTCTTAACAAAAAAGGAATGTATTTAGTAACAGCATAGAAAAAGGTTTTTCTTTGTAGAAAGAGTATAAAAATAGAATCTTTTGAAAATGTAAAGGTGTCAGGGGCGTGCGGTCCATGGAAGCGGGGGAAGCACCGCTTCCCTACACTGAGATTTAAAAATATATATTTTTCAGTTTACAATGCATAGAAATTAATATGAACTTAGGTACTACATTTTCTCTAAAACATTACGTAAACTTCGTAAATGTAATAATTCATTGGTGTAATGTGTGAACGCACGCACCACCCATGAGATAAATTAATTGTGTAAACGAACACACCATATACTTCGAGTCCGTCGGCGGAAGCGCGTCTTGAAATAGCCGGTTCATCTTTCAAGTGATTTCGCTTAGTGTTATTGACCCTGCTTTGCCGCGATAGTAGTCAGTCTGTTTGGCACGTGAAATACGGTCGAGAGGCAGCAATTGTTACGTCGCCTTACGCATATTGCAATTCGCACCGCGAATCGACGTGTGAGGAAAATCTTAGATTTCAGGTAGATTTCGGTTTGTTTTTCGCAGTTGTTTTTCTTTTTATAAAATGGAGGAACTATGCACTGTGCCTGTGAACAATAATAATGTGGTTAATTGTGTCTGTATTGTGTGCTCTTTATTGAAAAAAAGGATTTTCAAGTAGAAGTTTTGAAGAGAAAACGGACATTATTAATTCTAATAGACTAAATGATCCTATCAATTAAGAGACGAAAGTAGAAAAGTCAGCAAAGAAATTTACCAGGCATTTTCACGTAGGGTTTTATGAAAAGTATGAATGGTTAACCTTGCCTACTTTTTAATATAGCCGAAAAAACACATTGGAACTCAGTCGGTATTACCCCAGCAAACATTTTCTATAACATTAGTTATAACTCGACTTTGTTAAAGACGAATTTACTTATTGAGGTAATTATTACGTAAAATTGACTAGAAAAATATACCTCTAATGTAAATTTACCAAACGGTTTTAATTTATATTTAAATTTACGTAAATTATACCAAGAAATCCACCTTTTACACAAATCTGCTTAAAAGTAACTTTAACCATATCAGCAAGGGAAAAACTACTAAAAAAATAACCAACAATTACTTCAAAGTTAAATTTCCTTTGTAGTAAAATTAGGTGCCATATTTAGGTAATATCTACCTGTTTGGCAACTAAAAATCATCTTTATAGTAGAATATCCAACTAGGTAGATTTGGTTAAAAATTCTACGTAATTTTATGCCTCCATAGTAACCTATTTGGCTGCTTTAATTTACTATCCTTTAAAGTAATATTAGGTCGAGATCGTACCAAAATTCTACCTATTTATCTACCTAATTTCAACCAAATAGTCGAATACTCATTTAGTTGACCTATAAGCCATCTTTAAGAAATATTTATTAACTTTGTTGTAGCAATTACCTAAAAAATCTACCACAAAGTAAATTCGACTAAAAACCACCAATTTAAAAAGAGTCATACATAACCTATTTGTAAAATTTATATTATTTAGGTTATTTTAACAATTAGGTTGTTCAGTTACTGTCTTCGTCATTATTCTTAAGAATTTCGGCCATTTTAAAAAAACCATTACAGTCGTAATCATAATTTACGTGTGGTGTAGATAGAGCTTTAAATGAGTGCGAAAAATAATTAATAAAATGAGTTCGAAAAATAATAAATCATATCGTTATACTTCCGATTTTTATAGTAAAGTGAAACGTCTAAAATCTCAAGTGCTGAACAACGTGACCTAAATATGTTATATTCACCTATAGGTAAATTTTTTATAAAACCTATAAGTTATTATTTCTTTAAATAGGTAAAGTTAACTAATATGTCGTGAAATTGAAGTTAATTCAACTTAGTAAAAAGGTATTTGTAAAATACGTAGATTTCCTTAGTCATAATAACTTTTAGGTCGAATTCGCACAATACGCCATATTTTCTTAACGTAATTGAAGCACGATTCCAAATTTTAAATTTTTAAAATGACCATAACTAAAACATACGAATGAAAATACCGAAAAACGAAACATTATTGATTTTCTAAAGTAATACACAACAAACGTAACATAGTTTTAGCTCATATTATTATTATTTTTTTACACGATCATATTTTTTTCTTATATTTTTTTATTTAGAGAGTATTTTGGAAGGGCATTGTTATTTTTCTAAGTAGAACTGTTAATATGCACGACAAAATTTTCTTCGCATTAATTTCAACAAGCGTGAACTGTATATTCACCGCAATTACATTACATATATTTTTGTCACCGACATTTATTTATTTTCAATCTTTCATGTGAATTAGGTATATGTTTTAGTTGTGTTGGTGACTTCTTACAATATTTCTACTTATATATAGATAAAAATACCAAATAAGTATAAAATTTCTTTTCGTACACTTGGAGGCATACGTCATCTGCAAATATTTTGGTAGTTTATACCTAAACTTAGTTAAATCAACGTCGAATTAACGTTATACTGACGTCAAATTTCCCTAGAGAGGTATTACTAACCAAACGTACTGGGCTACTACAATGTGGATTTAGATGTAATTCTACCTATTTTGGTAAATAAAACCAAATTTCGACGTCGTCTTATTCTCCACTTATGTCGAATCCACGTCGAGCCAACGTAAATTTTACTTAATTATGGTTAAATCTAATTTTGCGACCAAATTTATTATATATAATTTAGGTAGTATCGACGTCAAATTACACCAAAATGTTTGCTGGGACAGGCTTGAATAATTTTCACAAAAGTGTAAAACGACATGTAAATAGCAAATCTCATATAAGTGCTACAATTAAAGAAAAAACATTCGGGGCCTATCGCATTGAACATAGTTTGGACAATCATTTAAAAATAAGCAACAAAATTCACAATGAAAGGGTAAAAAAAAGGGACTTCTTACATATGATTTGTATCCAGGGAGAGCATGAACTAACTTTTAGGGGTTACAATGAAGCAAGTGGATCCGCCAATCGTGGAAATTACATGGACTTTCTAAGTTTTTTAGCAAAATACGATGATACCCTAAAAAATCATTTTATTGATTCGACGACTTTCCGAGGTACCTCAAACAGAATCCAAAATGATTTATTTAAATGTACTGCCGACGTTGTGATGGATCACATTAAAAGTGAAATTAAAAAAGCACCTGTCGTATTAATTGCACTTGATGAAACCACAGATGTAGCAAACTTAAGTCAATTATCCATTGTTGTGCAATATGTATTGGATGGCATTCCTCAAGAGCGATTCTTAGGATTTTTGGACATCACTAGCGAACGAACTACAGATGCATTGTTTAAAATTGTTTGTGACATTATTTCAAGTTTAGAATGTGGTTCTAAGCTTGTTGTCCAGAGCTACGATGGTGCTGCCATAATGGCTGGCCATTTAGGAGGCCTTCAAGCTAAAGTGAAAGAGAAGTTTAAACATGCAATTTTCGTTCACTGTATAGCACATAGACTTAACTTGGTTTTATCGCTAAGCATGGATAATATTAAAGATTGCAAAGTTTTCTTCTCGACGCTTAGTTGTTTGGCTTCCTTCTTTTCAAAGTCATTGAAAAGAACTCGCGCTTTGGACATTCACGTTCAAAAGTTGCTCCGACACTACAATTGACGTTTAGTGCAAACAGTGTTTCAATACCGTGATTCTTTGATAAACATTTTTAAAAAGATATTCCCTTTTACTGACATTTTACAGACAAAGTCAAATGACATTGGCTTTTGCATTAAACAAATTGATGATTTTAAAAATAAAATGAATAAAAAACGAGATCAGTTTGAACATTTTTGGTATAAAACTCAAAACATTGGCTTAGAACCTGAAAGAAAGAGAATTAGAAATGATAATGTCGGCGACAGAGAGACCTCCTGGCGTACTTTGAAATTTTTGATATTTTACAACAAATGAATTCTCGATTTCAAAACTTTAACGAATTATAATTTGTTGAATTGTGCAATTTTAATATTAGTAACTACGATTCATCAAAATTTCCATCGGAAGCTTTTAATTTACTAAAATTAAATTATGGAAATGTTTTCGATATTCCAGCATTAAAGTCCCAGTTAAGTGTTGTTTATGAAATAACTAAAATTAGTGATAAAAAGACGCCCATCAATGTGTTAAATTTTCTTATAACTGGTTTAAATAAGTCCCTTTGTGAAGTCGTCAAGTTGTGTGAATTAGTCACTGATCTGTATTATTTTACTGGATAGGATATAGGCTATATTTAACATACTAAAAAGTCGTTCCACCAAGGAGACCGGAAGTGCAACAATGCTGGCCGATTTGGGCAAATTATGGTGGGTTCACAGAACTGAAATTTGGGATAATTTGATATACCTAACCTATAATTTGATTAGTTTTTCTTCTTATTCTTCTTCTATTCCTTTTGCGGGCGATGTCCTTCGGGAAATTTCATCCATGATTTGATTTTTTATGAAAGAAAATATTAAAATGGAAACGTGAAGCATATTGTGTCTTCAGGAATGAACGTTTATTGTTTATTTCATACTCTTTTTACTTTGTTTTCCACAATAAAAACATCTCATCGTAGCATGTTGACACAATTAAATAACAAATGGAAATAGAGGTTACGTTAAATAACATCGGGGCCGCCATATTATTTGCCCAAATCGGCCAATTTTTCGGAACGTTTTTTAGGGGGCTATATCATATCCAGTATAATAATAGAATTAGTACTAACCATCCCAGCCACAAGTGCGTCAGTTAAGCGAAGTTTTTCAGCTTTAAGGTGCATTAAAAGTTTTATACGAAATCCAACAAGTGAAGACAGACTTCTAATTTAGCCCTAAAATCCATTGATTACAAGCATAGTGACTATTTGAGTATTTTAAATGTCTCGATGAGATCACCACTGGGTCTCCTTCCAGTCTCTTAACATTGTTAGGTCTAATCTTGCAAGCCTGTCATCATAGAACAGAACTTTAAGGTTTTATGGTAATCTGGTTATTCACCTTTGCACTCTTTCTATCTGCTCTATGTCTTTGACGTAGTGTGGATTCCAGACAGTTTGGACGTATTCAAGTTTTGGTCTTACATAAGATTTGTGAAGTTTCAAGATCATTTCTGTTGATAAGTCTTTAAAGGCTGTTTGAGTAAGGTAGATAATTGAATTGGTAATTTGTGTGATATGTGTTTCCCATTTTAGGTCAGATGTTAAAGTGATTGCTAAGTCTTTTTGTTTTGTTACAAATGTAATTTCAATTTGTTTAAAAAAATAGTTGAATTTGGGATTATTTTGATCGATATGTAAAATAGTGCATTTGGAATCATTGAAAGGCATTTTCCAATCCTGTGTCCACCTTTTGATGTTGTTAAGGTCCATTTGTAATTCACCATAATGTAGCAGTGGATTTGCATATGATTTGCTGTGAACTTTGTGCTCTTTTGAAAGTGAACAATTCACACGTACCTGGGAAGTATGCTTGGTGAGAAAGCCCTCTAACAACTTCAGTAGTTTACCCCTAATTCCAAAATGTTTTAATTTATAAAGCAAAAACTCTGTTGGTACTTTGTAGATTTTTTAAAATCAATGTAAATGACATCAATCGGTTTATGGTTATCATCAGCTAGGGTCCACTCATTTAGTTTAGTTAGGAGGTTTGTCAATGTTGACTTTCCAGGGAGAAAGCCATGTTGTTGCGCAGATAAAATATTCCCTAGCAGAAATTCTGTGAGAGAATGTTTGTTTTAGCTGGTTCATCTAGAAAAACTCACACATTCAACTGCTGTTTATTTTCTGGCTGATAACGCCTAGATCCACGTTTCCTCACCTGTCACGATGTCATAGATATGTTTTGAAGCACAGTGGTCATATTTTTTAAGCGTTTCTTTTGACTAATTGACACGAGCCACATGATGATCTTATAATATCACCATCAATGGTTTCCTGAACAACAACCGATTTTGGGGGGCCTTATAACACAATTAGCGTTCTTACGTTAAACGTTCTGGGTATGTATATATACTGTCAAAATTTTATGATGGAGAGCTCAGTTGAAATGTGGTAGTACCAGGGTTGTCCAATCCCGAAATATAAAAGGAAACCCTCTTATAAGTTATAACCATTTAGAACGATTCTTCTTGTATTATTATGTAATGTTATATTTTAGATTTTTTTAGTGTTTTTGTTGTTTCATATTTGCAAGGGTATTCAATCATTAAAATTTAATGAATTAATTATTTTAACCTCTCTTAGTTTTTATTCTACCCACCTATGTTTAAATCAACTTTAATTTTTTTGTCATTTAAACATTTCCATGAGCGCATCTGCGGACACACTGTACATCAAACAGACCAGGTATTTTAAATTTCCGATAAAAAAAATAGATTGTTAACCTTGACATTGGAAATAAATTATTATTATTATTATTATGATTATCTTGTGTGACAGCAGTTTAATAAATACCTGTAGTAGAATTATTTTAATTTGTTTTACAGATACACATTCAGTTGTTATTAACCGATTGTGATTGCATAACAAAATATTTACGTATTGTAATTGTATTTTTAAGAAATGTAAAACTCAAATAAGATTCACGGAAAAGTTCTTCCAACTGATATTTGCAAATTTACATAAATGTTACATTAACTTTGTTGAAAGAAGTTATTTTCTTATAAAACTTAGAAACTTGGCATTCTTCAAGCACTTGTGAACTAATGCACATTTATGTTGAAAGAGCGTTAGAAAATGAGTTTACTATTATTCAATCAAATATTAATGGCGTAATGATGGTTATTACTCTCGAAGATGTGTGTTTAAGACACGAACGTAAAACCAAACTTGGTCTCATCATACATTTTTAATACTGGGTGTCCCATTATATTTTCCAACATTTAGCAAGCTTATAACTTTTAAACGAAAGTACTTAAAAACATGCGGTTTTCACCGAAATGTATCAAATTATTCCAAATTTTATTTCGGTCGATCCAAAATTATTTGGCACTTCCGGTTTACTGAAAAACAAAATGGCGGTTTTTTAAAGTCGTATTGTGTTAATTTTATGTTAGAAATATTTTTTACCCGCAAATTGACCATGATGGAGAATTACATGAAATCTATTTTCAACAAGATGGAGCACTTCCCCATTATTCACTGATTGCTCGTCAATCAGTTTTTAATAAATTCGGTAATAATTGGATAGGTAGGACAGGACCAGTTAAATGGGCTCCAAATTCGCCATACCTAACAGTGCCAGATTTTTTTATTTGGGGATATTTTAAAGCTTTAGCTTATAATCCTGCACCTCAAAATTTAGAAGAGCTAAGAGATGATGTACGTCGAGCATTTGAAAGCATTAATTACTCCCAACATGTTAGAAAAAGCATATACAAATTTATTAATACGTTTACACAATTGTGTTAATGTAAACGGAGGACATATAGAACATTTAAATTATTCTTAAATTGTTTAATAAAAGTTTGTTAAAATGTTAAATAAGTTAATTAGGCTATACTAGAATATCATTAATAAGCAATATTATTGTTGACTATTGATTTTGAATACAGTTTCACAAAAATTATTGATGAGAATTGTTAATTATTGATTGTGCAGGCTTTTTCAGAAAATTTAATTGTTCATTCATTTCTTCAACGATTTCAAAAAACTTTATATCGCTAGATAGCTTTCGGAGCATAAAAAATATACAGGGTGTTCCATTAAAAAAAAATAACAAATAAGTCTTTAAAAAACCGCCAATTTGTTTTTCAGTAAACCGGAAGTGCTAAAAAATTTTGCTCGGAGTTTATAACAGACAAAGATAAAAATAGGCAGAATCCAGCGGCGTACCGATCGTTTTTTCAAGGGGTCAAATTTTTTAAGATTAAAAGAGACGACTGATCATGCAATGTTTGGTTTCACAAGTTTGCTTTCTAGATTTCGCGGATTGAGTGATATCTTGTGAAAGTTTCGAATTTGAACAAGATATGGATATGTGAAAAAATTTTTAAACATACTGACATTTTTAATATTTTTCAGCTCGTGGAGGCCTAGTCGACGACGACGCTCTAGCACAAGCCCTGAAACAAGGCAGGATACGGGCAGCAGCTCTGGACGTACACGAAAACGAGCCATACAATGTATTCACGGGGCCTCTTAAAGAGTGCCCGAATTTGCTGTGCACGCCGCACGCGGCGTTTTACAGCGACGCCTCGGCTACGGAACTTAGAGAAATGGCCGCCTCGGAAATCAGAAGGGCGATCATGGGCAGGATACCGGAATGCCTGCGGAACTGTGTTAATAAGGAGTACTTCATGGGCCCCGGCGCATACCCTGAAGGTACAGGTAATACAAGTGTTACTAACATTTCCTCTTTCTTACTTATTATTGTTCTGTGGTTATTCCGCTTCACACTTTTGTCACTCGATTTTACAATTTTCTATTTTATCGCACGTTTGTGAGATTTTTTAGGAATATTTTTATTCGTGATTTAGTATAAATTGTTTCGCGTATTTATGAGAATATATAGGAATTTTTATATTTTTATTGCAACCATCTGTTCTATAGCACTGCCGCAATTCATTGAGAATTTTATGATCCTTTCACAGGTTTGTGTGAATCTTCTGTGCTATTAACTTTGTGGCATTTATTATGATTGTTCCTATTCTGAAGAAAGTTTGTGAGATTGTTTTTGAGGTCGCTGAATTCAATCCTCATGTCAGATTGGACAAATTGACGGTTGACAGCTGTCAACTGTCAACGACCTCAAAAACCCCAACTTTCAATGTGAAAAGAGGATATTTACTTTTATATTCCTCGTTCCCCGTAAATTGACAGCTGTCAACGGCCAATTTGTCCAATCTGACATGAGGGTTGAATCCAGTGACCTCAAAAACATTACCCTATATATTAGAATATTCAAAATATGCTGTAAATAGTATTGAAAATGAATAGTTTTGCAACGGGTCAGGGGAGCTTTGGCAGCTCCGTAGCTGCCAAAATATTCATTTTTGCACTTTGTGCCCATGGAGACTTTTGGTCAGGATGATAAAATCTACAACATATCAAAAATTCAGACAATTTGACAGAAACCCAATTTCCATAAGATTATTGCGGGGTCCTTTTAGTATTCATGATTATCAGGACCTTTTCTAAATAAAATCTGCCGTGGGTTTTTAAGAATATTAAGCATTTTCTTATTTTGGAGAATATTTAAAAATATACTTATTTCAGTGTACTTGTCCCATTGTTTTTGAATTTTCTTGGTTCTTTCACTTTGTGTAATTGATTAGGAATGTTAGTTAGTCTTCTGTAATGAGTTTGTGAGATTGTATAAAAATGTTCCTATTATATGCGATTTTTTTTATGTTTGGCATATTCCTACTTCACGTTATGTGATTATTTAGAACATTTCTATTGTTAAATTTGTTGTGAGAGGTTTGTATTAAATGTACAAATATCGAGCTTGATAATAAATACATTCTATTTTAATATTAACCATATGTGTATGCTTTTAAATAAAGCAAGACTGTAGTATAATGATGGTTTAAGTGTGGGTAGTTATCAAACTTATTATTTTATTTTCCACAATCCTTATAATGCTTTATTTTTGCTAGTGTCTCCGGCTGGAGTGAATGGTGGTTACTATCAGGGCGGAGCCCTACCAGTCCAACAGGCGCACTCTACGACACCTCATGATGCATCTCTCACAGTGACACCTAGTGCAGCGGCGCCGCCTACACCACAGCCCGCGCCTCCCGTGGGACCAGTTCCTGTACCGCCCCATGCTATTGTAAGTATATAGAGAGTGGTCTATGAAAAATATTTCTAAAGTAAGCCATGACCGACAAAGACAGATACAAGTTCTGTATTGCACGGCTCTGAATTAAATTTAAAGTCACATTTAAAAAGAAAAATCTATGCTCCATCATGCCTACTTTAGAAACATTTTTGTGGATCAATTCATATTAATTTAGTTATCTATAGTATTTTAGTATATTAAATGGAAAAATTATCGAGATTTGGGAAAAAAAATTGTTCAAAAATTGAATTTATTAAATTTGCTATTAAACTTTGACAGATCTTCTAAATCATAAATATCAATTTGTTAGTAATTTAAAATTATGTCAAAAGTATGTTTAACTTTTTTTTAAGGTTTGAGGTTCTAACTGCCGATTTTTGACTTCATAAAGTTACTATTTTTGGTAGAGGATTGCATCAAAAAATTTGTTGAAAATTGCATATTTATAGGTCTTTTGATTATTATTTTTTTGAGGCGATCTTATAAAGAATAAATATGCTATTTAACACACATAATTTTGAAATGGTCCAGATAATCATTAGGTGCCATTTGCATTTAAACAAACATAATCATAAATCTTTTTAAAGACCAATTTAGATCCAGAGCTTTTGATTATCTGTTTCTGTCTTAAATCTATATTTATTTTCTTTTTCTTAAGATTTTTATGCTTTTTTCACAATGTAGTAACTTAACATTGCTAAGATTTCTTTGCTATATTTTTCCTACTTATCACTGTAGATTTTAAATGACAAACTTTAATGGCATTTTCATATAAAAAAATAATTGGTTCAAGTTCAAAATAGTAACTTTAAATTCAATTAAATAATATTGAATGACAAAAAATGTGTACTGTAGTCAAAAATTCGCATTATGTGATTGTCTGCACCTTATTTTGGTGAATATTATATTATATAGATTATAATATAGAGACATAATGGGGAATTCTCCTGATTTTTTTTATTATTTCAGAAATTGATATAATTACATATATTTGCTGTGTTTGAATATCTACATCGGATGCATTTAAGATGTTGTAATTTTTTTATTATGTGACAGAGATCTGAATGTAGATGTGATAAACAAACGCTCTAAACTTTATTGGTCATGTGATAAAATGACAAGTTAAAAGTTTATATTCTTTAAATTTGACTTTTGAGACTGAAAATCATCCTAAATTTATGTTCTAAACAAAAATTAAACACACTAAACACTTTTATATTCACGATAGCATAAATAAAGGATAAATCAATAATCTTGGCTTCACAGAACACCTAGTTTCTCGCATGGAACGAACATCTCATTTCAAATCAAGATGTAAAAAATTAATCTGGACAGCTACATCTCGGATAAACAAACGATGTAGTAATGTAGTAGATGTGTCCGATGTGGATAAAAAAACGCGCGAGATGTAAAAAAATGCATCGGATGTGGATATTCAAACGCAGCATATAAATATAGGTTTCATTCATATATTTTTTAATTGATTCCCAATTTCGAAAAAAAAATGTAATCCTTTAAAACGTCAAGTTTCTAGTTTAATATGTGGCAACGTTGTCTATTAATTGACACTTTGGAACACCAATTATTAAAACGGCGTCACTTCTAGAAACATGATTGGCTTACTGTTTTAGTGGATTGTAACTGATTATTGGATTATAACCATTAAATAGTAATAATGCAAACATGGTCTAATTTAAAAATCTTTTGAGGTTAGATACTTGTTCTAATTTGTTATTTGTTTCTTTCTTTTTTTTTTTTTTTTCTTTTTCTAAAAAATATTGATCTAAGATCCGAAATAAGGTCGACCGTCTCCCATCTGTTTAACGGATTAAAGTTTATTTTTATTAAATAAAATATGGGATGGTGTAGGATTCAAAGTCCCTCTGTCTCTAACCACAAACTTACCTTATGAATATGAGAGTGTGAGACCGTTACGCCAATGACCATGATAGCTCTATATATTTAATGTAACTATTATGAACCTTTAGCTATGAAAGACCACGCTACTGATGCAGGACCCTGTATATAAACGTTTTTTAAACTAATATAGACTGTCAGTATATTTAATTTGCTTCTTGCTTTGTCTTGTAAGATAAAGAGTGATCCACAAAAATGTTTCTAAGGTTGACCATGACCGACATAGGTACCAGTCATGTCCAATAACTTATGCACATAAATCCAAATTGACATTTAAATGATAAAAGAAGAAATGTATTTTTTTTTGTTTTTTTTTTTTTAATTATTAGCTTAATTTATTAAACTCTCTAAGGGTACATGCATTTTTTTTAACTTTTTACATTTATAAGTAAGACAGACCTAGACAGCTCTGCCTGTATGCATGTCAGACCTGAGGCTTTTTAACTGCATAGTATGTTCTTAAATAAATAATTATGAGCAAGTATAGGTAAAGACAAAACAGAATATTTAATTTTTTATGCTAAGCATTTATACCAAAATCGCATCTTACTATCTGGAAAGACCCATGGCTTCAAATGTTCGTAATATCTTTCCAGACATTTCTATCCATGGCAGTTTCTTTCCAATTAGATTCCCACATTCAGTAAGTTATCTTTACACATTATATCCACTTGCGGGACCGTCCTCTTCTATTTGCTTCTTTCTCCCTTGTTAATGATCATTTTATCTCTGATCTGATATTCTCCATAGATGTCCTAAACAACATAACCGTTTTATTATAATTATTTGGCTGATCTCTACTTAAACATATAGCTCTTTGAGTGATGTCCTTTTTCTCAATTCATTCCCCTCTACTCTCACTCCTCCAAGGATTTTTCTTAGAACTCGTCCCCAGGTATTCAGTTCATTTTCAATATTTCTTTTCATAACCCAACCTTCACTTTCGTATAATCTTTGTTTTTCTGTCCTTAAGATCTTATACAACTTCAGTATCTTTTGAAGAGCTCTACATCCTCTTGCCATTTGCTCTTCAATTTATTATTCTTCCTTTTACTGGGAACAGTTACTCCCAAATATTTTAAACTTTTTATTTTTCCAAAGCAATACCTTGTCCTGATCTGTTTCAATTTGAAACTGCCCTAAAACTCTTCCTGCATCTTCTTCCACTTCTATTCTCGTTAATGTGTAAATCACATGTGTGTGGATAATGATGTAAAAATTCCCTGAAGTTATTTTTCTTGTCTGTATCATCAGTAGTATGTCATCAACATATGCAAGCACTTGGCATCCGCTGTTTTAGATAAGTCCTTTTGTTCCGATTCTACTGTCTCTAAATATTTTTTCGAGGACCAAATTAAAAAGTACTGTAGACAGTGGATCACCTTGCTTAAGTCCTTTTTTTACTTCAAACTTGTTGGAGAGTTCTTCTTTTTCTATGACGGTTGAAAGGAGCAATGATTAATATGCCACTTTGGCCAAAATTAAGTTATTTATACCATCGGAATCAACTGATTTTTCTGCGCCGATCTATGTATGTTTGATCAGATAAGCAAGCATTATTCTATTTCTGTCTATTCAACAGCATCGTTCGTCTGGAGTCAGTATAGGAAACTTAACGTACTGCATAGGATGCACCAATAAAGTAGTATTTAACTAGATAAAGCAAAATAATTCAGCTGTACTTACCCATTGTGTGTATAAAATTAAGTGGTAAAAGCCTGGACTGAAGGCGAATTGTTTCAGAAATCCTAAAAACCACAGTTTTAGTCCCTTGGTTCAACCAGAGTAAGGACAATAGACTAAAGGACTGAAGAGACTAAAAGACTGTAGAGACTAAAAGACTGGAGAGGCTAAAGGACTGGAGAGACTAAAGGACTAAAGAGTTCTTATAGAACTAAAATCTGGAAAATTTGACAACACCTGCACTATACAAGAAATGTAAGCTAAACTTTAGCCAGTTCATCTAAAGAGCTCTTAAGACCAAACATTAAACAAACTTAGCAATTTTGTTTGGCCTATAACATTGATACAAAGTTCTACCATGCCACAAAAAAGGAGATAACTCAGTACCTGAAAATTTTCGCCAAATACATATTTACCATGTTTTTCTAAAATACTTGAAATTGTTATAGTAAAACAAATTGTGCATTTCTTTGAAAACAACCTGTTTTCTGGTTTTAGACATGGAAGAACAACTACAGATACCAGGCTGGCTTTAATGACTAACATTCAGGAGTCTTTAGAAAACAAATCACAATGCATAGCTATATTCACTAATCTGTCTAAAGCATTTGACTGTGTAAGATGATTGCTTCTTATTTGCAAAACAGACAACAAAGTGTATATTACAGAAATAAACTTAGTAAACCTTTATTAATGAAAAGAGGCCCTCTATTGTTTTTAATATATACCACTGATCTTCTATCTTATATGAATTCAAATAATGCCGAATTACTAACTACATGCAGATGATACCAATTTCTCATATCACTGCAATAACACATCTGACATAGTTATCAAAAACTCTTAAGATTATGACTGAAGCTAAACAATGGTTTGAGAGCAACGAATTATTTTTAAATCACAATAAAACTGAAACATGTGTCTTCAGGTTGAACCAAACTACTAGTGAAACAATGAATACTAAATTTATCGGTATATATTTTGACACATTTTCGCAAATAGTATTTGAAAACTTGCTAGTCATAAAAAATAATTTGGGAAACTTCACATGTCACTCAGACAATCATACATACGATACCAGAGGGAAAAATCAGCTAATCCAAACGAGAACTAGAATAAACAAGTCCCGAACAATAGGCAGTTCATTCTATAATGCACTTCCGCCCCACATCCGTAATCTACCAGCAAAAAAGTTTTAAACATCAAATTAAAAAGATATTACTGGACATGTGTCTATATAACATGATTATTTTGTGAGAGTGAAACATGTCACCTAATATTTTTAATATTGTATTTTTTTTATATATTTTTGATTACTATTACCAACCGTGATCTTTAAAAATCCTATTTTATTTAAAATTTTATACGAGTATGCTGTATGTTATTGTATGTAAAATGTTGTGTATTTTACTATTTATGTGTACTGAAGACTATGTAAACATGTTTATATTACTGAGAATAAAATATTTCTATTTCTATTGATGGGTAATATTAAAAGACTAAAGAATCCTTATAGAATTAAAATCTGGAAAACTTAACACCTGCATTTACTAGAAACCTAAGCTAAACTTTAGCCTAGTTAATTGAACCAGTGCATCTAAAGAGCTCTTAAGACCAAACATTAATCAAACTTAGCAATTTTGTTTGACCTATAACATTGATATTGATGATTAATACTAAAGGGCTAAAGAACCCTTATACAACTAAAATCTGGAAAACTTGACAACACCTCCACTTACAAGAAACCTAAGCTAAACTTAGCCTAGTTAAATGAACCAGAGCATCTTAAGGCCAAAATCAGCCAGTTTTATGACGTATTGGACATTTTTGGATAGGTCATGAGAAACACAATGTATTAAGTGAAAAATTTCGAACTTTAAACGGCTCCCCTGTTAAGTCACGAACTGGCATATTAACAGTTTCTCTGTCGACTATATTTTCCGTTTTCTTCAAATTAAATAAATAACTAAGAAAAAATAAAAGATTTACCATCATAAGTGAAAGTATCCTGGAGTTTTATCATGAAAAGTATCTATATATTTTTCTTTACCTGTGAAGTTTAACATTTTAATAAAAGAATCACCATTACACTGGATACATTTTTTTAATTCCTATTTAAATTTGTTTAGTTTTATATTTTTAATTGTTCCAAATAGGATGGAGTTATTAAACTTAGGACCATAAGTCATGACATGTGTCAATTTTTTCAATTCGTACTTTGGAAACATTTTTTTTTTTGGATCACTATAATGACGAAAAATTCTCCTTTTACCAAATTGTTAAGTTCTCTGAAAAAAAGAAAAACATTTTTATTTGTAGCCAAAGTGAGATTTCACGCAGTAAGAAGGATGGAAATTACTTTCCCAGTGTAATACTTTACAGAACTGATTAAATCATGATGGTGGGTGAGGTTTTCCGGGTTTTCCTCACCTGTAAGTCAAATGGCACCATCAATCATCTTTAAGTCGCCCCGGAGCGCCACGGCAAATAATAATAATAGCCGTCCCTTCCCCTACACAAGTCGTTCAGTCGACTTCAGGGGTTGAAATTCACTCGTAAGGGGGTGAATTAGGGAGAGTATTATTATTATTATTATTATAAGAAAGTAACTTAGACCATTGCCACATATCAAAGTAGCAACAAAACATTTTAAAGTAAACACCTAACTTTCTCAATTTTAACTACCTAGTAATAATTTTTAAGAGACAAAAATTTGCTAGGGTGTTACTTTTATCATATTTTTTCGATATTTTTCATTATTTATATATTTCCTTTTCATAGGAGAATTCCCCAGTTGGAACTTTGTCGAACCATATCATGGCCCTTTAAATTGGTTGAATCCCTGTCTCTGTGCTCTAACTTTAGGTTCTAAGAAATGGTTTTGTTGCAGCCCATGAGTACTCCTGATCCAGCAAATCACCATGCATCAAAGCCGGAACCGTCGGAAGTCCACTAACGGTGTCTCAACAACCCAGATAAGAATTTCTTGAAGGGCAAAGTACTGCTAGGAATGTGTGGAGTGCATGTTGAATCACATTATCATTTAAATACGTTCATGTTCTTTCAACTCTTTAAGGTATACATATCGTAAACAAAAAAGAAATGGGAAATACTTACTTTCTACATCACATGCCTTATAATAAAAACAAAAAAAAAAATATAACAAAAAACCCGCCGTGTTTGACTCAATCTGAAAGCTTTGGTGTATTATTTTTAATAATTATTGTATTGTGATTTTATTTTAAATAATTATAATTTAATTATTGTTTTTTTTGCAAGAATCAAAAATATTTGTGTATATAAGCATTTTATCTGATTTTTATTAAATGAGTGTGGAATTATTAGTTACTTGGAAATTGTGATTTAGTGACTTAGGTTTTCAGATGAGTCCCAGTCATTGCAGGGTGAGTCGCTTTGGAAAATATCTTCTTTTAATGACGTGAAAATAAAAATCTCACAACAAATTCATCGAATATTATGGTTTTAAATTTACTTAATGAATAAAATTATAGGAACGAAAAATGTGGTTTAACAAAACAAAAAACTAAAGGTCAGTGCTTTTAAATAAATCAAATAGATTAAAAGACTGATAATATATTTAAAACTGATCTGCATTATTCATACTCTTATTCTTTCTACCTACCTGAATTACAAATACTGTTTATTTTTGTATCATATTATATTCTTCTTTAAAATTGTGTAGTACATATGTATTTTGTACTTAGACTGCTGTTTTTATAAAATTCGATAGTGTGAATTCTGTAAGGGCTAACAATTAGAATGTTCAGTTTTATATACAAATCGTATTTGAAAATGGTAATTTGGATGTAAATGTTTGGAAAACATTTTAAATTTAATACTAATACATAAAGTTTTGGCATGTCCTAAGAGTAGATGCTGATCAAATTGGCAATACTAGTTCTCTCCAATTAATAAAGTACAAAATACATTTTTTTTACCTTCTATACTGGAATAAGTTAACGCGAATGGTACGTAGAGTCAAAAGTGAAAATTATTTACATTAATTAATGTCACACCGGAATAAGTTGGAACAAAAATTAAAGGCATATAAAGTTGCATGGGATTGTGACCTTATTGATATTGTTAATAAAAAATACAAAGTGATTTAGACCTGTTTATATTAAAAGTAAATAGTTATAACTCTTTATTCGTCCTTTAAAATAATTCTACAATGATATGGCTGGTTCATTTATCCAGAAAATTAAAACTAAATATATTTTTTAACCCAAAACACTCGTTATTAGTTCAGAAATTAAACAAACATTTTTGGATTATATGAGTATATTCTCTTGAAGCATTTGAACAATGTCCCCAAAACTATAGAATATAAAAAAAATTATTTAGTGAGAATGTGTGTTTTTCGCACGTACGTGGCTTATATCTGGTTCAAAATATGCAAATTTTGTCTGCAAACTTATTATTAAGCCACATCTACAAAGTGATATATTGAAAAATGATTTTTATGAACATTCTGGTAGTTGGTATTTATAGAATCGAATTATTTTTTAATCTAAATCTAAAATAACTTATTTTTGAAGGCAGATATATTCCAGAGACGTTAACATTGACTCTACCTATTACAAAACATAAATGACACGAATTTAATATATTTTTCTGATTTATTCATGTTCGGTTTAACATTGTATATTTAGATGATTTTATTGTCAAGAAAAATTATTTTATGTACTTTTTTTCTCTGCTTAACATTGTAGGGAAAACATCATTGATTTTCTTAGTATTATCATTAAAGTGCATTGATACAAAATAAAAAAAAATTGTTGGTAAAAGTTTTTTACAAAGAAGAATGGGTCGATGGTATTTTTTTGTAGGATTTAGGATTTTGTTGTTTTGTTCTATATGTTTAGGACTTGATTTTCATCGTTAAAATACGGAATGTCTCAACAATGTCATTTAGTAAAAATTAAAGCATAAATAAGGCAAATATTAATCAAATATCCTAAAATTCATACAATATTCTTACGATATTTCAAAATGTGGAAATGTATTTTGTAATTTTTAACTAAACTTTAACTACAAAATGATAATACTGCATTTTAAAATGATTTTAATTGATTTTTTAATAATACAAGATTTTCTAGAGAATAATAACGTATATAATCTTGTATTGCTAAAACTAATAGTAAACTAAAGTATTCAAAGGTTGAGACATTCCGTACAAGGCAAGTTGATAGATAATTTTCGAAGAATTACTATTTGCCCATTCTGTACTCCATAGATTAAACCGTATTTTCAGGTATTCGCCTAGTGCAGATCATTCAAGATCACATTCACTATTATTTTTTGTTTTAATCTTTATTTCTGTGTCTTTTTAATACTAAGTGCATTATTAAGTTCAGAGGAAAGCTATAACTGCGGTATTTTTTACAAGAATTATTATATATTTTAAGTTTTAGTTCTCAAACGGAAAAAGGTTGAATCCGAGGATGGTTATTTTGGGAACGGAAGAGATTCCGGTTCCAAATTTGATCAAAATGTACTTTATGTACTCAAATTGTACCCAAATGACGGTTAATTTGTTGGTAATTATATTAGTTACCTTATTTTGGCGTCAGTCCTCAATTACGGCAATGATCAATAAAGAAAGTAAGTTATAAGCGTTAAGTTGACAGATATAAATGCCAATTATTATGAATTAACAGATATAGATTGTCAATCAAGCTTATACTAACAAACGTAATTGTCAATGTAACATAAAAATTATGAATTGGAGTATTTGCATTTAAAGAAAGACACAATTCAGATTATTTTCTAATTATGAAACAAAAAAAGGTGTTGGTGAACGTTCCTGTGAAAAACGTTGCTCGATGTAATGAATCTGTACAAAAACATTGCCCGATTGTAACTAATGTTTTTGTGTTTCCCAGAATAACCGTTTTTCCAGATTTCCGACCTGTATATGTGTACAATATCGTTTATTTAGGAAATGCTGCAATGTTGTATGAATGATTAATAGCCCAAGAATTTTGTGTTAAGACATTTTTTAGACAAAATATACTATAAATTATATGAGAATAAAGTATAAGCTGATGAGACATTGTTAAAAAACAACCAGTGAAGGATGAAAAAAAAAGTGGACTTAAGATACATTTTTTGAGAGGTGAAGTGTGCGGTACGGATAAATTTCATATTTGTAGAATATTAGTGATATTTGTGACTAATTTCAGTAACATACAAACTGCTTTTGATTTATTGCGTATTTTTGTTTAATATCTTGTATTATTATTAAATATTATTTTGTTGCGATTTGCAGTAAAGACATTCCACGTATTGGTTTAGCGATAAAAATTGTTTGGATGGTGTTGTGTAAGCTTCAGGCTAATACTATCAGAAGTGGCAGCTGCTAAGTAAAAAAAAGCAATTATATTAAATACAAAAACTAAGTTGGACCTTGATTTATGAAGTGTTGCACCAAAAAAAAAATCATGACTGACATGCTTTAAATCTTAACAAAACTTTGATTACCGCTAATATTTCCAAAACAAAAATCAATTTTATAATCGAAAAATGAGGAAGAACTGTGTAACCTACAAAGTTTCTTATAATAAATCATTTAGGTGATGATTACACTACATTGTTCATTTAGGAAGTGACATTCACAGTTGTGGTGTACTATTTGCTCAGTATATTTTTATATAAAAAAAAAATATTTAAAAAACCCTTAAAATATTCGTAAATGGTAGAAAATGGTTCACCGACTGCAAATTAGATTTGAAAAACGAAAGTACGCAATAACATTTTTATGAACACAATAGTACAGCATGTGAAATGAAATTTGTAGGGCTATTGGACTTCCACAAAATTTTCAAATAAATATCTTGAAACTTGTATTGTTTTTATTTATTTTTCCTACCCTCCCTATGTATTATTAGACGGCATTATGCAGAAAGTCTCAATAGTGACAAACTGAGATAACGGCTCTAAAGTTTTTATTCATTTAAAAAAGCTGTGGATTAACATTTTACAGTTTTATAGCGTATATAATTTAACTGAGGGGCAGAACGTGTATTTTATTACCCAAATCTGTACACGACCCAATATATGGTATATTGTGGGTTGGTAATTTTTTATGCATAACTGTCCAATTATCGTTTCTTATCAAGGTGTGACAATTTAAAAACTTGCAAATGAAAGATGTTATATAAAAAATGCTTAAAACCGTTTCTAGGATAGGAAGGAGGAACTAAAATGACAAAAGAAAACTAACCCCCTAGGCCCCACCTACCCCAACTAAAAAAGTTTAAAAAGCAAACCCTTACTTGTGATAGATCATAGAAAAGCCTATAAAAATGATATAAATAATAATTGTACAAGGTGTATCAATAATTGTGAAACCTTGCCTTAAAAGGAAAATTTAATTAAGTTTTTGTAGAACTACAAATTTTTGAGTTCATAAAATTGCATGCAATCGTTCGAAATTAAGTGAATCACAGATTTTTTTGTCCTCTTATCTTTGGATTTTATACTTTTTTCCTTCAAGCCACAGTGGTATTAGCAAGTCTTTAAATAATGCCGAACGACCTAATTGTTTTTCTAATATCTATTTCAGCATATTGGCATGTGTTTTCAAAATTGTTTTTCAGAAAAATTGAAAATTGTTTTTTCCATCTAGAAGTATCTTGCGTGTTTTTCAGCTAACTTTTTTATTCTCAACATCCATTTTTCCATTTATTATCTTAATACACGATTTACCTGACTAAAACTTGGGCTTTCATTCTCCTATCCAACAGCTTTTGTCATCAGAAGAATTCTTTGCTAATATCATACATAATGTATCACAAAAATATTCGTTTTTCTATTTTTAATACTTCACATTCACTCTCGCAGCTATTGGAAAGAGAGTAACACAGTATGTCGGTCTCCCATTAGATATATAAGGCCTATGCCTGGTAATACTGCATTCTCAGTGTGTTCCAAACTATAATCGGACAATATGCAGAGAGGTGTCAGCACCTGTTTGTGGAAGCATTTAGCTTTATTATGCTAAAGTTAAACTGAAGTTGCTCATATGTGCCGATAACTTTGGCTTTCTTCCAGTTTGTTTTTTCTCATCAGATCTATTGTAAATTTAAGACACTGTTAAGGTATTTTTCCTACCGTCGATCATCTACAGCAGCCTTACTCAACCTTTTTTCCTTCGAGCCACAATAGTATGTTACACGGGCCACAATATTTTTGGATGATGACCTTTTTTTAGGTTATCTATCTAAAATTGGTTAGTGGGGACCTCTAATAAATAAAACACACTTATTATATTATATCTTCAAATCTTTGTTTCATCCTTTCATGCATCCCTCTTAATAAATACTGTGCAAGTTTGGCATATAAATCCGAATGCTACACTCGCCCATTGATAAATCTATTTTTCTGGTGGAATGTATTTTGGATAGCTGAATCTTTTGGTACAAGTTGTCTATTAGAAAGTATAGTTAAAATTCAAATTCACCTTTTACCACTAATACTTTTATTTACGAATGTTCACATAAAGATTCGCCCGTTACGGCTTGACCAATCACTCGTTACAGCTTGACAATCACCCATTACATCTTGACCAATCACTCTTTTACCAAGGAGATTCGGACATCACGTATTAATATCTAGTGGTTGTTGAAGGTTAGCTGTATCGCGGAAAGAAAGGGTGACGTAAACATCTTCTGGATTTCGAAACAATCGAAAAAGGCCGGTGACGGCTTTAGTCATAACAAATATTGCAGTATTTCAATAAACCCATTCAACAAAAATAAGTATCGGTAAATCATTTCCGAAATACTGGTACGTTTTCACTCGAAATCACCAAAATCACTACAAATTATCTCGAAAATTCCAAAAACATCAAAAATCATCGCTGAAATTAATTCGTTGCTCAAAACCGTAAATGCAGAGAAAAAGATCATCGTATAAAATTAAGGTGGATTTTCAGTGAAATCACATAAAAAGTTTTTATGCGTTTTTCGAAATACAGGTACGTTTTCCCCTCGGTTCTGGCATTTATCTTGTTTTGGCAGAAACTATATTAGGAATGGGACTAAATATATTTAGCAAAAATAAGTTATATTATGCCTATTATCTGGTTTTGGTAGACACAGCAATTGAACACAATGTTATGTTTTGGTATAAATACCACTCCATCTTCTTTGTGCAAATGGTTAATGTATTAATATGGAGTTAGTTTTTATTGGCTATCTGTTTATCATGAATATAGACTTCGTTCACACTTGTAGAATGTGTACTTAACTAGAAAATTCCAAAAATGGAGCTCTTGTTTTTGCAGTAACCTAACAAAATTTCAAAATTATAAAAACTGAAACCTATAGTGTTAATAATAGTGTTTCGGGCCACAAAAAATGCTTGGAGGGCTGCATGCGGCCCGCGGGCCGCAGGATGAGTATGGCTGATCTACAGTGTGTCGCATTTAAGATGAAGACACCCCTATATTTTGGCTATACAGGGGTTCACATTTTTCAAGATATTCAACTGAAATTTAAATTTTAAACGCGACCTACTGCGAATCCACAAACAGGGTCAATTTTCGATATTTTTCTTCGCGTTAGAGATATCAGAAAAAGTTATTCCGAATATTATTCTAACCCCACATACCAAAGTTCATGTCAAAATTCGCATTTTTAGTGTTTTTCATTATTTTGGTCAATACACAAGATTATTAAAAGTTGATTTTTTTATTTGATAAATTAGTGTGCCATGGAAAGGAATAATTTGACACTTGTGAAATCATTGTCAATGAGATTAGACTTTACAATTTATAACCCAGTGGGGATTATTTCTGGCCCAGTATCTACAATTTTGAGATGATACAACGCCATTGATGGTTAATGTAGCCACCACATCTGTAAACATAATCTTCTCCAGAAAATGCCCAATAACAATAATCTTATCTTTTATTCTCATCGCCTTCTTTTAATGTATGTAAGAACTTTTGGTTTATAGGGCTTGATTTTATGACGGATGAAACATCTTCTGATTTTATCCTTAGTAATATTCATGTGTGGATTTGCTCGATTTGCCACCAGTATATCGTTATCTTCAGGATGCGGGTGTATTCGCCGAGATGGCCATTCTGATGGATTTTAATAACACTGCCAGTTTCATTGAAAAGAGCATTTATAGCGGCTGCTTTTCCATGTGTAATGGAAGCACATTGCGGATGTCTCTTGTTAAATTCTGCAGCAACTTCTCTGCTACTACGAGCAAAATCACCAAACAATCGGATTATTTCGATTTTTTCGTTTAAAGTCAACAGTATATTAATTCGGTTTTCACTAAATAGAACTCAATGTAATAAATTGAAAGTCTAATCTGATTAATGATTTCACAAGTGTCAAATTATTCCTATCCATATACACTAGTTTATCGAATAAAAAAAAAGCAACTTTTAATAATGTATTGACCAAAATAATGAAAAAACTAAAATTGCGAATTTTGTCATGAAATTTGGTATGTGGGGGTTAGAATAATATTCGGAATAACTTTTTCTGATATCTCTAACGCGAAGAAAAATCGAAAATTGACCCTAGTTGTGGATTCGCAGTAGGCCGCGTTTAAAATTTAAATTTTAGTTGAGTATCAGAGTATCTTAAAAAATGTGAACCATGTGCAACTAAAACCAATAAGTATTGAAAAAGATTAGCTGCCTCTATAGGGTAGATATACAAATATAAGAGGGAGATTTACCTAACTTGAAGTCACTCCAAATCCTACACCTCGAGTAGATAGGATGGGTCGTTACAGGCATCGAGATAACTACATGCTGCATTAGCGGCAGAAGGGGGCACAATAGATCTTTTAGGTCGCAGTGACAAATTCCCGAGGTCCGGGCACAAGGGAGACCCGGCAGCTTTAGCTGAGGATGTTTTATTTTTTTAGAATTTCGCCACAAAGGGAGGACCTGGTTTACGAAAAATACAAGGTGAAGACTTTTTTTTAGATTTCACTCTCAGAAAGGACCTTTTTTTTGTTTGAGTAATGCAACATAGGAAGGACTTGATTTTTTATAAAAATGTTCCGGGGCCCACCATAGCTCTTGGCGGCCCTGACTATCATATAAAATGTTTATAGGTCCTATCCTATTATACTAGATAATGAATAGAAAAAAAAAATATGTTCTTTTTATACTTTTCATTTACAACAAAATGAAACTGAAAGCAATCAACTCACAACAAATAATTATCTGTATGCTTGAAATACACATTCATTCGTCTTCTTAACTGATCAAAAGTATATTCCGAATGCAATGTATTTTGCGAAGTGATGGACTCGCGTGGTCTTCGACCTATCTACGATTGTCCGAACTAAAATGTTGGTAAAGTCATATCTTCCGCGTATATTATTTGAAATTTCGGCTTGTATTTTAGTTCTTAATTTTCTTCATTATATTGATTAGAGAATTGATTTCAACGTGATTGTATTGGGTTATTAATTGAGTATTTGCTTGAAAAAATCATATAAAATTTCTGTATAATTGTTTTGACTTTTATTTTTATTATTCTCAAAGTTTCATTATAATTATTTATATTTACAGTGAGCATCATAAGTCTTACCCCCCCGTATCTAACTCGTTACTGGAGTCTTAGAGACACGTCGATTTTTGATTTCTACAATGTACATTTTTGTAGGAATAGTTTACCCTTAATTTCATCCCTTACTGGAGGGGAGCAACCCTTTCGAAAAATTTAAATGGAATGGGGTGGTGAGTGATAGCTCATTTGAAAGGGGGTTTTATTCTCTATTCAACCATGCAAAAAAATTTGAAATTTGCTTCAATCATTCTCGAATAATTATTGTTTCAAAATAACGAAAATTAAAGTAGCGCACTCCTTAGAATTAAAATTCGGTCCTGCATTATATCGGTTTTGGTTCAGACGTAAAGTAAGACTTTTTGCCATTAGATAAGGTCACTGTTAGTTTAGTTGCTTTCCTATTTGTGATGTTTTGTTATTTTTAAACATTTTATTAAATCAACACGTAATGAAGCAAATTTCAAAATTTTTTGCACGGTTGAATAGAGAATAAAACCCCCTTTTAAATGAGCTATTGCTCACCACCCCATGCCATTTAAATTTTTCGAAAGGGTTGCTCCCTCCAGTAAGGGATGAAATTAAGTGTAAACTATTCATACAAAAATATACCTTGTAGAAATCAAAAATCGATGTGTCCCGGCTATTTTCCTAACAAGACTCCAGTAACGAGTTAGATAGGGGGGGGTAAGACTTATATGATGCTCATTGTATAGCTCTTTATCTTTTATAATTTTCAAATTCATTTGGAACTAAATAAATTAAATGCAATTAAACTCTCGCTTTAATGTTTTACAAATAAACAGTTATAAACACAGAACCCGTAAAATAATTTATTCACAGCATTTTACATAGGTAAATGATTATAAACATGTCAAACTATTTCAGAAAGGTGCTATTTTTTAAGATATTATTGTGTCAGTACACTCAATATTATGACTTCTTAACTGAATCTTTGGAAGATCACGTTTAAAAGAGTTAGCATTTTAGTTTTTTCAATATTTAGACACAAATAAGTAGTTGGCATCGCACCATGCTTTGATTTGCTTAATGCCACAGCATATGGTGTTAAAAAGAACGCAGGCGTCATTGCTATGCCACCAATCGTGGTGTCATCAGCAAATAGAGTGAAAGTACCTGCAATTTTAAGTTGAGCTAAGTCATTTACATAAAGGAGGAATAAAATGGGACCTAACACATAACCCTGAGGGAGTCCCCAACTAATGTCTGAAACTTGAGAATCCATAGTAGCTCTTACCATATGTGATTGACACAATCAAACGCCTTAGTCAAATCTCAATATCGCCACTACAGCACCTCGTCAAAATTAATTTTAGAATAACTAAGTTACCCATCTGTTTTTTCATTTTATCTGGGGTGTCATTTATATTTTTTAGAATTGATGAATTGAAACGTTAGATTGATGGGGTTAAGATAAGGCTTATTTCTGTGGAAAATGCTAAACAAAGCGGTAATAATGTTGTTTGCGTAACAGACATTTTAAACATTTTAATGGTGGAAATAGATTAGATTTAAAATGAGCGTGAAATTACTTATCCTTGTCCACCACAACCTTTTGAGGTCTGCCATGGAATTCCATTATTTAGAGTCTAGCTTGATCTTTTGTATAAGACTTAGTAGCCTTAAACTTTTAGTTTAAATGCTCTATTTATGAGATTTACACAAGTAATGACCATTATCAAACTGACCAGAAAATAGATTTTTCAAAAAGTAATTACAATTTAACACAACAGTAGATTTTCGGAGCTGGAAAGATCAATTTGAAGATGTATGTAAAATTCTTCAAGTAGATGTTTTTACTTTTTTATATCTCTGTTTTAAGTGAATTCCAATAAAACACCAACTCCCTTCACTGTACATAAGATGAGAATCTCCAAATCTCTTTTGTTTTGTGTTTGTCTGTAAAACATTAATTAAGAAAAATTCACTCATCAGCTTAAATACGTACATGTTGTATTTTCTATTTTATTACAATAAAATTTAGTATAAAAACTTTATTTATTATCATTGTTTATATAAAGAATTATAACAGCGAATATTTAAAAATTAACGCCTTTTGAAATGATTGAAATGCTCAGTGTGTTGTGCCAACCATATGTATCTATCTCATTTGATTGTCAAACCGTAAATATGTCCATGAAAATAAGAACTCTATGAACACACAACTATTAATTTAAATTGAGAATAATAACTGGTCATAAGGTATTAAAATAAGAGTCTATGTAGAAAATGTAACTTATTACAGAACTAAAACTATACTATTAGAAAAAAGAGTAATCTATACATTCTTGTGACTATAATGTACAAGATAAATATATACTTTCAGGTATTTATTAAAAAAATTAAATACAATCACTAATATTATCACATTTCTAATTTATTACATATTTATTAAATTGTAAAGTTCATCAATAATTGCAGTTTTGCTGAAAAGAGGTGTTAAGTACATATAACTCAGCCACTTAAGATAAAATAATTTAAATTTAAGATACTAACATAGAAACACTTTTAATTGGCCAAACTTTACAAATTGCTCTACTTTTAATTAAGCCTTGGGGTATAGGTCCATAACTTCGACTATCTAATGAGTTACTATTGTTATCACCTTGTAACCAAACATGCCCCCGAGGGACACTCTTATAGGAAGCAAAACCAACTTTAACAGTCTCCCCTGGTAGTCCAATTACTCGCTTGCAGATCTGCTGTTTAGGATTCGATGGACATTTAGCTATGATGATATCTCCATGCCGGATTTGTCCCATCCATGGTGTAATATGTTCTGTTAAAAGAATATCATCTGAATGTATGGTAGGTTCCATTGATGGGCCCGAACACAGTACAAAATCTCCAACAAATTGAAAAGTGCAGTGTGCTAAACAACCATATTTTATAAAGGTTCCAACAGTACCAAGAAAGTATCTTTGTGCATTTTGAGAAAGTAAAATATTTCGATATACTCCCATGAATTGAAATTGATTTTATTCATGTGTTAATGTGATAATATCTTTATTTTCTAAAATCGTATCGTATTTAACAATAATATTAAATGTTTTTTTTGTTTGACAGCAAAACGAAAAAGAAGATAAGGTTTAAGGTTAGTTCCACTAGTTCCAGTGTTGCCAGAATACATATTTGACAAACGTAACATAAAATACATGACATATATTTTCATCTAGTTTTTTTCATAAAACTCAAGATTACCTACCCACCTAAACAGACAAAAATACTACAGACTACAGAGCATTTAAAAAGTATTAAAAACGCTTTCTTCTTGAGTACTGACATCTACTTATAATGAAATAGGTACATATAAGCGAGTAATATGTCAGAGCTGTTAGTACAAAGGAAAAGTACTTGAGTAGTATTAAGTATACCCAGACAACACACCAAATCCCAGAGATATCCGCAGAATATCTTTTGTGGATATCCAATATATTCACAGGATATCAGAAATATTCCGTGGATCTAATATGGATATCCAAATGTCCGTCTATATCCAGGATAGAAGATATCCTAATGATATTCAGCAAAATATCTAATGGGCATCTTCCAGAAAATACAAGAAATCACAGAGATATCCACAGAATATATTTTGTGGATATTCAATATATCGAATATGGATATCCAACCAAATGTCCGTCTATATCCCAGGATATAGAAGATATTCGGATATTCAGCAAAATATTTTATGAGTATCTTTAGTAGAGGTTCATAAGTAACCAATGATTATTGAATAACGTCGAAAGAAAATAGCAGAGATAAAAAATATTTTCAACACTCAAAATATTTTCAACACTCTGCCTTTGATTTTGCCCACTAAGGAGAAAGTCTTCCTTATTAGGACTCTTCAGCAATAAATGAAAATTCTCGACTCCAGTCTCTAATGGAGTGATTAGGACACACATTTCGATCGAACTCAAATACGGCGGGTCGAGCATGAGTAGATGCAAGTAGATGCGATAGTGGTATCGCCATCTATACTTAGTAAGCAGAATCAAATAACATCTAGTGGATATCCACGATGGTTTGCGTTAGCGCCTAGACTTGGATATATATTTAGTGGATGTTCATGGGATATTGAATATACACCTTAAAAAAATTAATTTTAAATATCTGAACGGTACTATTAGCCACAATGGCGAGCACAATGGCGTAATTTTTTAATAATTTGCTATATAATTACTATTATTTATGGACATTTACATGTCTATATAAATTACATTTCATGGATATAAAATAGATATCTACCATGGACTGGACATTCAGTGGATATTGGGATGTTCAGTAGATATCCAAAGGATTTGGTGTGCTGTCTGGGTTTCTGTACAGTATTTACTTTAAGTATTTAAAATACTCAGTACCACAGTAGCTCGGAGTACTGTGAACTTTTATTTTGCCGTTAAAAATGTTGGTCGCTATTTTTGATCATCTTGCGACATAAGAATGCTAAAACGTGATATTTTTGTAAAAGGGGTAATCATGTCGATCATTCAGAAGAAATACCTTGTAAATACTACCATGACCCACGACGGACCAAAAAGTATTAAATGTCATTGCAATTGTAATAAGCTGGCAACACTGTTTAGTAAATTCTTCTTTTATATCTCTTTAATGTCTCTTCTTTTTTGAGTCCGTTAACATTGATCAATACAGTCCTTCTTTTGTGAGGTTATGACACAGCGGTTATGATAAAAATTCATACTTTTTGCGTGTTTTCCAGTATTGCAATTACGTCGAGCTGTGACGGGCTGCGACTTTTAAGCTAGAGAGTAGTTAACTAATTTAATAAAAAACTTAGTAGTATTTCGCTGGTCCTGTTTGTAAGTAGGGCAACTTTTATCACTGTAAGTATATTTTTTTAATCCAGAATTAAATACCTATCTGCATTCAAAAAATTTGTAAATTATATTTCAAATTACAATATCTAAATCGTTTTATCTAAATTTAATTTCGCTTTAATAATAATAGCATCTATTTCTAAACGACCTTCATAGATTCCTTTATCCTTGACAATCATTTTAAATTTGAGATAAAATAATTGAGAACCTTACCTATCTGCATGAATTAAATTTATTAAGATGACGAAACTGTTGTAAGACCACATTTGCTTGAACAACTTTTATTTTTTGAAAGAAAAATACCTACATCGTATTTTTTTTAATAAAATCAGATTTTGCAAAAGTTAATCAAAAAGGTTGATTCAAAATCAATAACAGGGTACCTAAGATTTAATTTTTTTTGTTTAAGTGCCTCACAGATTTGGAAAAAAATACAACTATTAGAAACTTAAAAAAATCTCAATGTGTTTTAAAAAATATATAAGTAACTTGGCTGGGTATTTCATCATGCTTTTTTAACTGTGCCAGACTGCAATAAAATAAATTTGGCTATAATTATTAGTGATGATGTAATTTTTGTTCTACTGGCAATTACAGTGACAGAGGTGCACTGTCAGTAGACTTGTTATTATTTATTTTTTTGAGTAAGTTTTGTTTACCTTTAGCTTTTAAACTTTCACCAATTATTCCTAAAGCAGATGACATGCATCAAGTCCACAGGATCTCCCACTAGTGGGTAATTGCTCTATATTTTAATTTGTGTTATTGACACACAAACAAGTTTCAAATATATGGTTTTAAAATATTTTTGAATACAGAGGGTGTTAAGCTTTTGCCTGGAAAATATAAATATATATTTTTAAATGGTACACCCAGTATTTTATTTCAGTTTTGTAATGGTCTTATATATTCAACCCCAGAATATTTTTAGAAAAATATTGGTTTGCCGAACAATTCATTTGTTTGTGAACTAACATAAGTGACATTTGTTCAAATGGCACTTACAATAGTTTGGCAAGAAGGTATCGATATTATAAAATTGTCATAAATTCTTTCATTATTATTTAAATTACTGACTTTTAATGTACCAAGCTAATGAACTAAGTGGTGTGATAGAAACGATTGATTTTATAACGATTGTTTTGAAACTTGTCATGAATGTGGCTCATTTTAAGTTACATGTATTGTAGAATATTTTAGTATTAACTTCGGCATGAATTTACCTATCCAGCGATATCCACATGTTGGCCTATTAGGCATACACAGGGTGTCCCATTAGTGTGTAATTTGTACATAGCTGTTTGATTATTGGAGATAAGATGAAGAATTTTTAAATACAGAAAGTTGTACCTATTGTTGATGACCATATTTTAAAATTATTCTTAAATATATACTAGGCAATAAATGAGGAGCTAACCAAACTTATATTTTATTTAAATCAAATGCCCTATGTAAATTAATTTTTGAATTTCTGTATACTTTTCCCGTTTTATCGATATAATGGCGAGGATAGTGGTTTAGATACTGGAGGCATTTTTGTTATAAATTCACAATAAATCTAATGTCCTGTATGTTATGTTACGTTGGGAATGGGGTGTTAATACACTGCGACCTAAAAAATCTATTGTGCCCCCTTTTGTCACTAATGCAGTAAGGAAATGTCAATGCCTATAATGACCTTTCCAATCCTATCTTCTCAAAGAATTGTAGGATTTGGAGTGGCTTTAAGTTAGGTAAATCTCCCTCTTCTATTTGATATACTCCAAGGTATAGTGCCCTTTAATTCTAGAGTGCTACAGATTCAGTCAGAATGTAAATTTAAGAGGGTGTCATCCTCCTTCTCACAGAATCTGCACTCACTATTTTCTACTACACTCAGTTTACTAAGGTGCCCAGTAAGGATTAATGTCCTGTAAGTAATTACACATAACAGATTTGATTCTTTTCAGATCGTCAAACAATTTTAATAGGCATAAAGTTTATAAAAATGTTTTGCATGTTCATTCATTTGGTATGATATATACAGGGTATGTTGTATTTTTAGATAAAATAGTAATCGATCAATTACCCATTGATTTACACTATAAATATCAGGGTTCGAAAATATCGTGATATTTATATAAATAATAATAAATATCATATCACATGATATATATCGGATATATATCCGATATATATCAATTTTAAAATTTAATTATTTAATTAAAAAACAGTATTGTTTCTTGCACAAACTATATTTTAAATTTAAAACACAATCATATTAACAAAAACCTATATTCTAAACAACAAAACCGTTTATTCTAACTCAAATTAAAAAGAAAAAACAAAATAATTAATAAAATAAACAGATTTTAACATTATTTTATTAACATTAATATTTTAACACAAACACATATAAATCGCTAGTTATTATACTCTTATGCAGGAGCGTATTTAGACATTTTCGGATGTTCAGAATGGTGGAAAACATTTTTAATTTAATAAATAAAATTATCGAATATATCGGATATATATCAAGGTATAAATATCATGATATATATCGTGATATATATCATGATATATATCACTTGATATATATCCTCCGAACCCTGATAAATATTGGTTAACATGTTATAGTATTGTTGGATAGGTAAATTCATAACTAATTTACTGCTGAAATAAATATACAGGAAGTTGAATTTGAAAAATTGAACCTAAAATGGACCACATATTTCAAAATACCCCATATTAAGTGAACCAGTTCTAATCATCACTATTCGTTACCTTGCTATCTTCATAAGTCTGTAATTTAAACAATTTTGAAATAATTTACTAACATTTACCTAATCTATGATAATTTTATTTAAGGTCTGCATCATACTCTAATTCCACAAAAAAATTAATTGCTTCTCAAGCCTAAATATATTCTTAGATTGAATACAGTGTATTGTCAGACCATTCTAAAACTGAAATAAGATATAAGGTGTTCCATTTAAAAAATATACATTTTTATTTGCTAAATATTTTTAAAGCATGCCTTTGTCGAAACCGTATAATTTTTATTTAAAACTTGTTTGTGTTTCTATAACACAAACTGAAATATTGAGCAATTTCGCACTAATGAGACACCCTGTATTATCAGTTAGTTACCAATTCAACTTTTTATTTTTTCATGATATAATTAACATACCATCTATTTCCGTTTACATTTTTCGATAGTTTTTATAATAGTATTTTCTGATATTAAAATAACTTTCCTCTCATTTGCTAGCTTAATATAGTTCCAAAAGTAATTAAAAATAAGTAAAGTTAAACAAAATTAAATTGCTATTTATTTCTATTATTTTTAACATTTGTATTTATTTAAACATTAAAAATAATTTGGTTATCGTCGGTAGATTACCTCCTGTCCTTCGACGCACGACTCCTCGATTAGAGCTGAGAGAGACCACACAAGTAGTAGAAATAAAAAAAAATTAAAAACCGACTTCAAAATCGAGCAGATGCCATTACCACATATTAATCAAATTTATATGGGACCACCCCTGAGGTACCCCCTTACTAACAAAAAAAGAATCATATAAATCGGACAAGGTGGTAAAGCATTATCGCTAAACATACATAAAAAATGAAGAGTTTGAGGATTTTCTCATGGACCCAATTATTAGATTTTGACCAAATTTATATGGGACCAAGTCGGTTAAAAATAAATAAATAAAAACAAAAAGTCAGAAGCGGTTCGATAATTTAAAATTGAAAAAGCCACATGTGCTACTGTAAGATTCGAACCTGCAGTATATAGCACACAGCTCCTTAACCTCTCGACCATCAGAAGTTATTAGAAGCAAAAAAAGAGCGAAAAAAGATATTCTGAAGACGAAGAGGTGCCAGAGCTCTGGTAATCAAAAATACTTGGAAATAAATCTGAAATACAAAGTAGGTAAATAAAATAATAAAAGCAAATTCTGATCTGTTACGTGTGGAGGGTGGGTTGCCCCACGGCACTTGTGCTTCCTCCTAAGATGATAAGCACCTTCTAGTTCGTTAGCCAGCCTACAGATTTAATGTAGTTGACAACGTCGCCATGAGGTGCTTCTCTTATATCGGCCGGTGTTAGCCGATACTCGCCAACACAAATCTTCTAATAAATGAGAGCGTCGAGGATATGCCCGATGGTCTCATCTTCTTGTTCGCACCCCCGCAAAGTGCGGATTCTGACAACCTCATGATATGGAGATGCTTCCGTACTTGCCCAATGACCAGTCAGAATGCCCGTCACCAAACGCAGCTTTTGTCTAGTCATAGTCAAGTATTTGTTTGCTGCAGTGTTGTCAGGATAATTTAAAAGCTATATGGGAACTCTGCAGTTTCTTGCTTCATCCCATCTTTCCTTGAATTAGGTCTGTCACTACCGATTTTGTTAGGCCAATAGAAGGACCAGATTCAAAAAGTATTTGGTTGGCTGCTTTCCTGGCCAGTGAATCAGCAAGGCGGTTACCATTCGATTATAATATTGTAGTTTGTGCAACAAGAATGGATATGGACAATCCACTCGAGTTGTACAGTATATTTTTTCTACGTCTCACTAAAAATTTACATATTATTTTAGATTATTCAGACAATATAACTAATTTTAAAATAATTTAAGAATTTTACTAATGTATAAAATAAAATAAAATAAACATGAAAAAAAAAAGATTATTTTAATTAGTCCCGGGCTTTTAGCGTGGAAGGCAGAAGCTCTCTCCTCAGCTCCACTGCCGCTTTTACGATTTTAGTTTTAATACTCGTAATTAAATTAGTTATTTCATAAAGTTTGATTAAAATTTATTTTTATTTTCAAAATGTGAACCAAATAAAAATAAAAATGCTATTATTTATCCATTCTACACAAAAATAAGGTTATTTTAATGCATATTTAATCTCGATAACTAAAAAATATACTGACAATCAGTTTGACAGAATTGTCACCTATTTAAAATTATAAAAATAATAGTAGTTGGATGTCGAAAATGTGAACTGTTATT